CAAAAATGCATGAGGGGTGTATTGTTGAACTGAGGAAGAAATTGTGGGGTTGGTTTAGCAATGGGCTTGGCCCAAAACTTTGAACACTGAGAGGTCAGTTTGGACCGCGTGTGGGCGAGTGCATGCGTTATGGTGAAGGTGGGCGCTCTAAGGCGTTTGATTTGACCATAAGGGTAGAGATTGAGGGTGCATGATAAGCGTAGCACATGGAATCATGGGGGTGTACTTAAGCGAACGTCTGAGCTTGAGGCTCATTTTCTTGATCTTTTTCTCTTTATATGCCTTTGTCCTAAATAGAACAAACTTTTACTCTGACTGGAAATCGTTTCCGCCGGCGGCTCCACCCTTAGCCGTCGTAGAAACACCATTTATCCTAGATTTCTAGTTGAAGTTCAACCGGAATCGTCAAATATTCATCCAAGCCACTGTAGATCTTCATATGGGTTCTCACGAACCCAAACAACTTCATCCAACTCGTATGAACCCTAGGCTAACCTTAAGAACATGAACCCTACGAACCCTAAGATTTTTCCAGAAACCCCTAAAATTAAACACAAATCACAGAGATTCAATAATTATAATCCTAAGCTATGTGAACTGGATTACCTCTCCTGCAGTGATTCTTCTTGTATTAGTCCTTTTCTGGTTTTCTGATTCTCCATTCTAATCTTGTTTTTTTCTTGTTTTGTAGGTGCGTGGAATGATGGCGCGACGGTGGTGATTGCTTGAACACAATGTAGTGTAGCTCAGATCTAGGGTTTCAAAAATTGAAACCCATATCCCTATTCTCCTTCTTCTTAATCTCTTATTTTTCTCCCTTCTCGGAATTTTTTAGGGTTCTATTTATAAGTTTTTAGAGATCAATATATTAGGAAAATTGTAGGATTGTCGTTATTTTTTAGATGATTGTGCTACAAATTAGGAATTGATAGATTTAGGTTTAAGAAATGATTTTGTAATTGGACAATTTTGTTGTGAATTGATTTTAGAATGATTCAAAATAGTTTGTAATTGATTTAGAAAGATTAGATTGATTTCTGTGTTTGAATGATTTTGTACAAAGATTTGATTTTGTGTAATATGCTATTCGTTTTGGATTTGATTCAAATTTGTATATTAATATTTGATTTTTTGGACTCTGGTTGTTCTGAGCTTGTGTTGTCTTAGGGTAGAAGGAAGAACAGGGTCATAGAAGCGGAGATTTTGTTAGGACAAATTAGGGTTTCCCTTAGCCCTCTGTTGACTTAGTCAATCGTTTCAGGAAAAATAGAAATAATAATATAAAATAATAATTATTATAATGGTGATAATGTTTTAAAAAAAACAACAACAACAACAATAATAATAATAATAATAATAATAATAATAATAATAATAATAATAATAGTAAAATTAATAATAATATAACAATAAATTATTTGAACATTGACTTTGGTCAGCCTCGATAAAAAGTGACCATTGGGCCTCCCAAATTTCTAATGGACCAGAAAACAAAAAACAAAGATACTCCCTTTGTACAGTCTTCAAACAATTGAACATGGACCCCTAAAAGAATAGGTCGTCCGATTTTGGTGTTCATACACCCCCTCTTCTGTCACTCCAAAGGAAGGTAAATGGGCCAATCCAACGAATTGATATGGGTCTACTAATTCAGAAAAGAAGAAGCAATGGGTCCATCTAAGCACACACCTCCTCTTTTATAATTTGAACGGGCCAAAACTGAAATGGGCCAATAATAACGATGCACCCCTATTACTTACAAATGGGTCTCAAAACCCTAATGGGCCATCAGATTTTGATGGTCCATTTGGAGCAATGCACCCCTCTCTAAACTTTAAACCGCTATTAGACTTAAAATTAAATATAAGAAAATTTAAATAATATGATTATAAATTAGAAACATAGTAATAATATTGCTATTATAATGGGTAAAATTTGGGGTATGGCACTTGGAAACAATAAAGTTAAACGGTGATTTCTTCTTAATTTTGCGAGTCAAGTTAGTCAATAGTTTGCTCTAGTGTAACTAATGTCTGTGACCATTCCAATCACATCTAAAGAAACCAGGAAAGACAATTAAAATAAAGTTATGGAGATAACACAACTATTTTATTGATTAAATGATGAAGTATTTGAAATATCAGATAGAATAGAGTATGTTTTACATACCTATCAACACATCCCTTTTCCAATTTCCAATTATAATATCAATAAATGGGGTGAATTTTTAGTGGTTTAGGTGGTATCTCATGTTTGTTTTCATCACCAACAGATGTACCACCAGTAAAAGTCAACTGATATTTGTGTTCAGGCAGTTTGAATAACATCTCATTCAAGGAAACTTGAAATTTGGCAATAGTATACGTCTTATCGACAGTTAATACAGAATCAAATACTTGTTTAAATGCGGTGGGAACTTTACAGTGTATATCAGAACCATGTAAATACAAAACATGTGTATGAGAAGAAGCAACATATATCATCAAATCTAACATAAGTCATCAACAATAACACCAACAACAACCAGATATCTGAAACTCAAGATATCAAAACACAAACATAAATCATCAAACCAAACATATATCATCAACCCAAAAATATATCATAAAACCAAACATATCTCACAAAACCAGACATAACTCATCAACGATAAAATTTCAAAAATCAGGATACCCACGTGTAATAGAAATGGAAACCAGATCATGTAAATCCTAAAAAAAGGAAAGCTTATATTCGAATGAGTCAGGTCAGAGACTCGGAAAAAAATGTACTTCTTTATCAATCAGAATCATTTCAAAGTGTTCCTTGAGACAACATTGCATTTGTGATGAACTCTAACAGCTATTTTCCACGGGTCCTTGGTATCATTGATGTCTTTGACATTCTCAAATGGACGTGCCATTTTGTAGTGGAATCACAATGAAGTTTCTTTGAACTATTGTGGGTTTGTTCTAAAAATTAGAAGTAGGCGGTGGAAGAAGATGAAAGTTGAAGGCTGAGTTGAAGAATGAGGAATGGGAAGAGAGTGGTGTCTTCAGAAGAGAGAGAAGAAAGGTTGTGTGTGTAACCATGGTAGGCTTTGGAGTATTGTTGCATTTAGAAGTGACTTATCTTGGGGGGAAGGGTGGCACGGTTATCTAAAACAACCAGATATTTGAAACTCACGATATCAAAACACAAACATAAATCATCAAACCAAACATATATCATAAAACCAAACATTATCTCATAAAATCAAACATAACTCATCAACGATAAAATGTCGAAAACCAGGATACCCACAGGTAATAGAAATGGAAACCAAATCATGTAATCCCTAAAAAGAGGAAAGCTTATATTTGAATGAGTCGGGTGAGAGATTCAGGAAAAAAACTTACTTCTTTATCAATCAGAATCATTTCAAAGTGCTCATTGTTCCTTGAGACAACATTGCATTTGTGATGAACTCTAATAGTTATTTTCCATGGCTCATTGGTATCATTGATGTCTTTGACATTCTCAAATGTTCGTGCCATTTTTTAGTGGAATCACAGTGAAGTTTCTTTGGACTATTGTGGGTTTGTTCTAAAAATCAATGAAGGTTGAGTTGAAGAATGAGGAATGGGAAGAGAGCGGTGTCTTCAGATGAGAGAGAAGAAAGATTGCGTGTGTGTAACCATGGCAGGCTTTGGAGTATTGTTGCATTCAGAAGTGACTTGTCTTATGAGAAGGGTGGCACGGTTAGCACAAAAAGTTGTTTTGAATTCAAAAAAAATTCTTTTTCCCAACTCATTTAGTTGTGGTTGTACTATTAAGACAAAAGGTGTTAACTTTTTGTACACAAATGAAAATAAATATGTTTGAGTTAGAACAAAGATTACAATTTAGTTACAAAAAATAAATTTTGAACACAAATTACCCCCAAATTAATGAGATGGCAAACAAAGATAAAAAGATAAATCAGGACATCTAATTTTCTTATATTAGATAGATTTGAACGAAAGGGAGCAATTGTGAAACATGAACACTACACAATATCCTTAGATTTAAAATAATTTATAGTACACGTTACAATTAAATAGTATAAATCAAATCGAATTGCACCCAACATCATAAGATGTACATGAATAAGAGGGGTGTTCAAAACCAAACCGACCTAATAGAAAATTGCAAAATCGAATCGAACCAAACTGAAACCGCAAAAAACCACATTTAGTTCGAATGTGTTGGAATTATTTTCTAACAGAACTGTGCAATTTGATTCGATTTGCGGTTTATAGTTTACAAACCAAACCAAACCGCATTATTTTATAAAATTTTACTAACCAATATATATTTCTTTAATTCTTTATAGAAATCAACATGTATTATATATAAATTTTATCATATTTTTTGTATGATATTTATTTTAATTTATAAATCATAAAAAATAAAATATTATTCATTTAGAATTACTATTTTCACAAAATATATTTTATCGTATTCTTTGTATAAAATTTATTTAAGAATGCAATCTTATGTAAATCATTATTTAGATTTAAATAAAATTATAATACACAATTTTATGTATTAAATTATAAATTTATTTTGACAATTATAAATTTTTTTTATAGTAATGTATGAATGATTAAACACAATTATATTTTTCTCTACATTTTTTTTTTGTAAAAAACCGAACCAACTTAACCAATCAAACTCACATTAATTTTGTTTGATTTAGTTTTATTTTTAAAAGTCAATCGAACCAAACCGAATCGCACATTTTTTTCTCTTGCCGTTCAGGTGATTTTTTACTTCAAAACTACCAAAACCGCGCCGCAAAACACCCCTATGAACAGCTACACTGATACCAATACAATTTCCAGGGGCATGGATCAACAGATCATTTTGCCAATATACTAGCGAACACCAGCAGTATTAGAAATAGATCCAACTGAACGAGCTTGCACAAATTGCACCTCTGATGTTAAAATAGAATAAAATAACAATCACTTCATCCACACGCTATTCATCAATTGTGTTTAGCATCCTGAGAAGTCCACTATTTGCATCCCTCTTCCAGCAACAGCGATCTGATAATGGTTCCTACATGAGACACAAGCAAATATTAAGAGAGAGAACAATATGATAAATCACCAACCTAGGTCATTCACTAATAAATTGATCAATCACCTGCTACAAGCCCTAGCAGATAATGCTTCTGGCTCCGGCACACTGACTATTAGGTGTGCACGTTCTATTAGTTTACTCTGGTGAAGATGCCAGCATCTGACCCGCTGATCAAGTCCAGTTGAAAACACCCAGGATCCATCTGTCCAGACACCTTCATAAAACAAAGGTTAACAGTCTTGCATCACAGACCAAATTTCTTTTTAAAAATATACTAAAAGTTCCAACATTCATATACTAGCTTCAGTTTGCTTAAGTGATTCAAGAGGATATGGTTTGCAAGTACTATGAATATTTTATTTTATCATTTAGCAGAATAAAAGTAGATGTGAATCTCTAGAAGACAAGTATTCTCATAACAAGGAGCAATTCTATAGGGAATAATAGGTTTATAACATTCTCAGTGGAACAAAATGCTAGATGAAGTAAACGAAAAAATTAGTGGGAAAGCCAACAAAGCTAGTGTAAAACAAAGAAAGCCTGTAATACTTACAATTCTTTATGAACAGGGGGAAATGCAGATAGACGGAGAAGTTTAATTATGCGGATTTACCTTTCACAGAAGAGCTGTGGGCAGAAGGAAAATTTTCAGAATTTAAGAATCTGATCTCGTAGCTTCTACTCTGATTTTGAAAGTCCTTAACATAGTCCGGTTCAGTGGCCAAATGTGTTATATCTGGAGTTAAAATCCCATCAAAATTTGTTGCTTTAGGTGATAACTCAACCACGAGATGATGAAGTGATTGATCATCACCCCCACTAACTATGCTGTACATACGAGAACTACCATTATTTGGGCCACCTTTTATCTCTGATACATGGAGACAGTTGACACCAGACTGGTGAACGTTTTTCAAAATGTGTAGAGGCTGTATTTCACATATTTCTGCTGACGAATTATCAGCCTTATTTTCTAACTCGGGGGAAGCTGTGTGCATGGCTTGAGAACAAACCATATTGCTGTCTTCAGATTTATTTGGCACTGAAGAGGTCTCATGTGTGGTAGAATTGATGCTTCCGTCCTTGTTTTTGGGTTTTGAAGTCACCAGATTGTTATCTTGTCTTTTCTTTGATAACCCACGGCTGAAAAATCTCCACTGTCTGCCCCCCTGACTTCCTCTACCTGTGCGCGGTCGTTTCTGACAATCAAAAAGCTTCTCTACATCACAAACCGAAACTCGCTGCATAAAAGCTTCCACACTGTCAGTCAGGTCCCAAAATGTAACACACCCATCAGTAGATCCACTAATCACAATGTAAGCATTTCCAACTTGGATGCTATCTGCAAAATAAAGTTTAGACATATTAAAGCAGGGAAATAGTTCACACAAAATATATGGAGGACCTCAACTTATTCTAGTACGCGTTTTTAAAAGTGCAAGAAAGGTACAAGGCATTCATCTTAACAAATAATATCCTTCATTTCATATACTGAGGAGCATGGTAGAGAGAATTTCTCCATGATGAAGGCGGAGGCACTGGGGACAGTTACCTATCAAACTATTTTATCGAACTGTCTTTTGATTATCAAAAGAAGCCTATGGTCATAAGTAAACCAAAGCATTGAGAAAATTTCCTCTTTCATATTCAGCTTTCTTGACGAGGGCACCATACATAAAATCTTTTCACCACTAGTTGTGATATTGGCAACAGGTAATTACTGCCTTAAATTTTGAAAGAGACAGACTTCAAAAGAATCCTATTAGCATTACAACACAACGTCAACATACATGTGAAAGTTCAGGATTATGTGGTTCACAACTCACGGTCTCTCGAAACGAATCACTGAAATAGAGTGCCAGACAAACCTTTATGACGGGTACGAGTGGGAAAGATGATATGCTGCAATGACAAAACAGGTGCCAATAAAGGAACAAGTAATGCAATGTCAAACCTGCCATCAAGTAAAAAGGAAAGAGCCGAGTAAGATGTAATAGAAAATACAAGAAAACAGAAAGAAAAAACCATAGAATTTGATGGAAATAATAGTTACTACCATAAGCGAAAGGGCAAAATTAAAGCCCGTAACATAATTGTAGCATCCGAACAAGCAACAACAACAAAACAGACAGATATCCTGAAAGATACCCAATAAAACCTTAGTTTCATTTTTTGGGGGGGTTAAATAAGTTGTTAAACAATATACAGAATCAAGAAGCAAATGCTAGGCATCTCCTCTAACCTGGAACCAGCACATTTAACAAGAAAAGCAGTGACTGCAAGATATCTCCAGTCATCCTCATGTTTATCTCTGACCAAGTTCACCATTCTAGGTTCAGCATCAATTTTTATATTTGAACCATTTTCAGCAACATCTACTTTCCCGGCATTATTTTCTGCATATCTGTGTGTAGTTGAATATTTGGTTGGCATGTCAGTGGAAAGCCACTGGAACGTCATTGAAGAAGACAAACTTGACAAAAATCGATCATCAACTTCTTTTGAATCCTGCTGATTATCAGTGTGGAAGTCAGTTTTGTTCTCCAACCTCGTACTTTTGAGTAGCCAAGAAGTTAAGACACGCTTTGCACCCACTGATATCAGTAAGGTTGGATTATCTTTGTCCACATCAGCAACATTTAGTTTGCTCCTGTCATCAGGTACAGTGGTTGTAGCTGATGGAATGATGTGTAGTTTTGAGACGCAACAAATTGACCTTACAGCTGATCCACCAACATGCTCACCAAGCAATTTTGATGTGGACCAATTCTCAATACCTGGAGAGTACCTAAGTCAAACAAACAGACACGTATTAGGAGTTTATGAAGTACTCAAGGGAGTTCTATAGAGAGCAGAGAATAACGGTTTACCAAGTCAGTCTCACAGTCCCATCTTCACATCCAGTTGCAATCCAACTTGATTTAGAAAATAATGCATGCTTATAACAATCTCCCAGGAGCATATCTCCATGTATAAAGCACAATGAATGTATCTCCCTCCCATGGAATTGCATATGCAAACTCAAAGGGTATATCTTCCCATTGTTATCATTAATCCAGTGTCTATGTATATATATCATTTCATCCTGTAAAAATTGGAATTATTTGTCAGGGATATTCAGAGATATATAATTGTGAAAAAAAAGAACAGCCAGCTAGCCACCCATGAGAAAATAGGACCAGTGTAAGGTGGGTATTGGTAAATTTTAAAAAGTAGCTACTGCTAAAAATAGAGTTGAAATTTAATGCTGAAAGAATAGCAATACTTTTAGCACTTTCTCAAGCTACACCGACATCCATGTTCCGGAAACAATAAAATAAAGGGAGCTAAACAATGAGCATATGGTAAACTGTTTCTTTCAGATCACCATCAATATGGATGGAAACTTTGAAATCTAAAGACTGCACATATCACAAGAAGGCAATCATATTTAACTGACTTTTATTTAGGATTTGGTTTCTCTAAAGTGAAGGATGCACTTTAAAGAATTAAATCTGGAATTATAGTTTATAACCATTAAATGAAAATTCAAAAGTTCAGATTTTTGCAACTTCACAATTTGTTATCTTTGAATGTATTTAAACATAATGTCAATTGGTTTTTAAATAAATGGTTATCAACTTATTATTGCACTCTATCCTCTAAAGTGTACCCCCGCTATAGAGGAGCCAAATTCTTTTATTTAACTTTATCAGGTTCATCCTCATTATTAGGTTTCAACCCAATAAAAAAAGTGAGGCCTAAAAGACCTTTTATGGAGTTCCTATTCAAGCCAAAAATTTAAAATGATCTCAAATATAGAGAATAATTAGTCACTCTATAAAGATTTTTTGGAAGAGTATAACTTTTTTAATATGAGCAGGTGTTATGTGATTTAGGATAGATAAAGCTTAAAGAAACTAAATTTGCTTACTAAGTTGTTTCAATAGCCAAGTATTCAAAGCAAAAAGTAAACCTTAACAAAGGCAAAACAGTTCTTCATCTCTGGTACATCACCTAGAAAATAAGAATGAGGACGCCGCCAGCCACCACATGGAATTTTCACCACCTGATAATGACATATGCACTTGATATCATAAAACTATATCTGGTAACATAAGCACCGACAGATGAATATTAACTAAGCATAGTAAAGGGAAAAATAGTCAAAGTACCTTGTTCTCATTGACTAAGTTCCATATTATGAAATCTACAGATGCAAAACCTGCTGCATAGCTTCTTGACGACGTATCTTCCGACATGTTATCAACAGAAACATGCTCAATCAAAGTCAACTCTTTCACTTGCTTCATCCCTGTAAATTGCAAATTCTGCATTTCTCTATCATATTCCAGGTAGCATACACAACCATCTGCACCAGTCTGAACATGAATAAAAGTCAACAATTGGAATTAAAGTAGAGCATATTCATAACTATACTTGTCGGATTCATATTAACTGTGCTCTTGACATTATTATTTAAAAATGCTTACATATGAGTTTAATTGAAACCAGGCTTATCACAATTTGAAGGATGGATAGTTAAACATACCGAGCGTATCTCAATTTGATTGTAACCAAGCTTAGTTACAACAACACTGGAGACACTTGAAATCCCATGAACACCTTTAAAATGATTTACTGGGGGTATTTTCATCTCTTGTGCAACAGATGTGCTCAGCACCAGCTTTTTTAGCAAAGGAAACAAAAGCATATTACCACGTAGATCTCCACATGCTAGGACCTGCAAAGACATCAATATCCAGATTCCAAATGAGATTCCCTTTCTAAATTATAAACTACTTATATTTATATGAATTATGATTACATATTAAATGAGAAGACAAAATGAAAAAGCAGTTTAAGAACAATGCCACTGTTCCTCACAACTAGTTATCAAACAGTGTCATACCAAGGACGACCTTTACATAAAGCAGATTTCATTAAAATGGTATTTTCGTTGCACATAAAGTCAGATTCGATCATGCAATACCAAATAAAACTCATCCCAAAAAGTTTTCAAAAAAATTTTAAAAAGGGAGAAGATGAATACCTCATCCTCCAAGCATGCATCCAAACACATGATCCGCATTCCGTAACTTGATATGAACTCTGCTGCATGCGACACAATGTTATCCCTTATGGAGCTCTGACTATTAGATTGTGAAGGGTCGGGCAACCTCCAGAGTTTCAATTTTCCTCTAGGGTCGGCTGTAAAGACATACCTACACGATTGTGTCGCCAAAGAATGGCAAAAATACATTTCATTAGTTTGAAACAATGTTGCTGAGGTTATAGTGTTCAGATAAAGTGGGTAGAAAAGATGAAGGACTTGATTAAGGTTTGATATGAATGCCGATGATACCCTAAACTATTAACAAATATTTATATAACACGAGAGTCAAATCCGAATTAAATAGGGAAACAAATCATGATATTAACAGAGAAACATGAAAACTAAGTTTAAGAAAGAGATATAAAATACTTTATGCTGAGAAACTAATTGCATGAGTCAGTCTAAGATACTTGGAGATGATATCAAGATATTATAATTTTCTTCTAACAAAAGCAAAATAAATAAGAATAATAAGAATAATAAAATAAAAGACTAAAAAAAGAAACTGAATGGGATAAACTATGAAATAGAAGAAAACACAAGGATTTCCCATTTGATTGCCACATAATATGTATGCTAAGATGAACCTATTGCATGATTATGCTTAAATTAGTATGATCATAATGGCTAGTCAACCAAATAGAGAGAGATGACTAGAACTACACTAGCAATAATATGCCTATTTCTGTCTCTAGTAAACCTCATAATGCATGCATAGCAGAGATTTTTATGAATTAGACGCATTTTGATAGTGAGGCTGAGACATTTATCAGGCAGTGAGTACAAAAGAATTGGTTCACACCGCATCAACTTGCATAATTTATTTGTGCATGGTTTAACTATAAAGTATTTTGTCAATAAGTAGATGCTAATATTGAAAGATAAGTTAAGGTCCTTCATTACCTACATCCCAAAGATTTACACCAATAAGTACCCAAAAGCTGTCTCTCCATTTCAGCTTGCCATGTATAGCTCAATCTAACTGTAGGAGTAGAGTCATTGTTAGTAACTCCAATAACTGTCATATTTCCTTTACCATCTCCAATGGCAATCCAATCTTTATCACCACATCCAAGTTCAAACGAGTCCTTGGACAATAAATCCATGCAGATAACTGGAGCCCCGTTGCTGACCTGGACAAGCTGATTCCAATGAGCTCCTCCAGTTTCACATAATTTAGCATGGTAGAGATAACCATGATTGGTAGCAACATAAAGAGAATCCTGAGAGGAAAAACGCAAACAACGAACGTATTCACTCTTGCTGCAACAAATAAGGAGGCAAAAAGGCCAGTCAACATGGAATATAGTTAAGACTACTGACTTTAGACAACGGCGCCTCAAACTCAATTAAAAAATTGCAATGTTAGTGCAGCCAAAGTGATTGCATTAAATTTAGTAATGATCCAACCTGTCCGTCAATCCAATATGCTCCAGCCCATTAGGGATGCAAATGGAAAACATATCTGTTCTTCCGTGGGACAATTGTGCTTCAGCCAAGCCCCTGGACAGAAAAGCATGAGGCCGATGCACCTTGATAGCAGAATCAAACCCGGCAGTTATAAGAAGTGACAAATTTGGATCATACAAACATCTCCATATACCCCTTCCTCTGTACATAGAAAACAATACACGTTTCGTTAAAAAAAATGAAAATAAAAACTTGATGTCAAAAGACCTAACAGAAAACAATGAGTAGTCCACACACATAATGACTATTGTGATGCAGTAAATGCAATTATTGTAAGATATGAAACAAATAGAAAATTTCATTGTTTTCAACTGTGCAAGTAATCACTCTTTGAATCATTTTTAACACTAAAAAGGATAGAATTCAAACATCTATTTGTAAGAAAACCAATCACTCGGGTTATTAAATTTCTCAGTTCAGTTAAACCTCATACAGCAACACTAAAGTGAATCAAGGAAAATCAATAGAAATTAATAAGTGATATTTTTTTGCGTCAGGTCTTTTAAGGGGTTAAACATATAGTTGATTAGATATTACAAGTCGAAGGGATTCGAGGTAGCATATTGCCAGCAACTATTTGTGTAGATACTCAGTTCACGTGATGTCAAAACTCAAAAAGTCCAGACAATCAATTATATCCAATGTTTATTCGATCAGATCCACAGACCTTCAATCAATTCGCAATTAGAAATTTAATACTCAACAATTTATAATCCATGTTTAGATCTTACATGTGCTCCCTAATGACTTGCAGCTGTTCACCATCAATTCCCCATATACGACATGTACAATCCTCACTGACAGTGACAATAAACTGCAGAAAAATAAATTAGGATATTTCAATTGCATGAGTCAACAATAAAGATTCTTAATTAAGCAGAAAATTAAACACAGTACAAATACAATTTTAATGTTGTCAAATACAATCCATTCCAAACATGTTTTTGTGACTAGTTTAATATTAGCTACATGGAACAGTGGCTAATTAAATACTGAGAAATTTGTAATATTGAATTGAAGACAAATTTACCATGTTTTGGTGACTAGTTTAATATTAGCTACATGGAACAGTGGCTAATTAAATACTGAGAAATTTGTAATATTGAATTGAAGACAAATTTACCATATTTTGAAGAATGGGTTTACCAATTACAGAACATATATTTATAGTAATGAAACCAGTCATGAGATAAATGAAAATACATTAATGGGTAAGTTTATTTTTTATCTGTAAAAACTATAAAGACTGGTGAAAATAATTGAAAATGTCAACAAAAACTCACTACTTAGTAGAAAAAAGAAACATAAACTATAATTTAATAAGCAAAATGATAATGTAATTTTAAGCTAGCAGCACATGAAAGTCTTTAGAAATATTACTGCACATCACAACACTTATGAAAGCAGCACCAATAAGGGAGATAGTTAGCATTAAAATCTGAAGTTTTCCCGATAAGATCTGCCTACAGAGAGGCTTTTAACTAAAAAGACCTGATATGGTTTTCTAACAAACTTAAAAAATCTATTAAATAGGATACTACATAATGATTTTTCCTTTTTTGTTGCGCGATGGAAAAGCACAACATGATATAATGAACAAAAAGTTAATGAGTTAAACAATATCAGTAAAGGTTTTTTTAAGATTAAGTTTTTCATAAGAATGAAATGAATGGCTTACATGATCAGAAATACAGCAGTCCCAAACTCTAGCATTATGTCCAAATAAGACAAGGGCAATGGGGTCATGGTACGATGAATCTTCCTTTTCAATAGGAATTGTCCAGACACGTGCGCTGCATTGTAAAAATAATCATGACATGTATTATCATCTGAAACTAATATAAATTTGTGATCGTTGATATAGTAAGATTTGAAAAACTAACTCACCTACGGTCGTCAGAAACAGATAGCAGTTTAGATCCACAGCACGACCATGCTATTCGGAAAATTGAACCTTCATGTCCAACAAGTTTACACACGTGAACAGCCTCGTACAGATTATCTTTTGGTGGGCTGCAATTGGAGCCTCGGTGCTCATGGTCTTCTCGAGTTGTTGAAGATTTATCATATTGAGAGGCCACTTTCCAAACAACAATCTGCCCGAACGAAACTCTTTAAAGTATTGCAGTGAACTTACATAAAACGAAAAAGAAAAGCAAGTGTCATATTATGTGTAGAACGGCAATTGTGTCATATTTCATCAAGATGAGAGTTGTGATTAACTTGAACTACTTCAGTGTTTCTGCAATGTGAGTTTACTAGTCTATAGAAATCAAAGAACTATTCTGGAGATAATCAAAACGAGACTTGAAGCAGCATGTTGTAAACAAATTCAACACGATTTCAAGCTCAACAATGAACAAACAACAAGTATCAGCAGATTTCTTACCTCATTAAATATTGTACCGGATGCAATACGGAGAACTTCAAGATTGTGACCCCATAATCGCATTGAATACAAAAGGCATCGTACTGTGATCCAATAACAAATAGTATCTCATTCGGTATATAAAATAATATTTTTAAAAATGAAACCAAACCCATATTGTAAAATTGAAACCAACCTGGTGATTGAACCTTGAGAACCGTATGAGAGTTAGAAATGTCCCATATTTGAACTGAATTGTCGCTACATCCTATAGCAAGAAAGTGGCTCTCCACATTCGAACATGGTAAACAGCCCTACTACCGAGTGCCAAGTCACAAACAACAACAAAAAACAATAAATTAAAAAAAAAAACACAAGTTAGAACAAAAAAAGCATGCATTATTCAAAACATAAATAATATCTGACACAAATTTTACAACAATTTAAAAGCTTACGACGACGATGGCAACAACAACAACCAAGCCTTATCCCATTAAGTGGGATCGGCTACATGGATCAACTTTCGCCATAATGTTCTAACAAAGACCATGCTTCTATCCAAATCGTTAATCTCGAGATCTTTGTTAATAACTACTCTTATATTTTTTCTAAGTCTTCCTCTTCCTCTTCCTCTAGTTGTTTGACTTTCTCCATCAGATCTACTCTTCTTACCACATAACCTAAGAGTCTTCTCTGCACATGCTCAAGCCACCTAAGTCTATTTTCCACCATCTTCTCTACTATAGGTGCTACCCAACACTAATATTTTCATTTCTAATCCTTACCTATCTAATTTTACCACACACCCAATGCGTGTCATCTCTTCTACACTTAATTTAAAGCATGTCAGATATCCAGTTAATTCTGTTCAACGGGTAGTTATGACTATAACAAGGTGTCATAACTCATTAATCACTTATGTTTATACGTTCAACAGATAGTTATATTATCTATCAATTAATCATTGGCGTATTTAAATCAGGTTAATCATTAAAATTCAAATTATTATCACAATCAAAATATCACAGTTCATTCCGAAACGGAAATATGAGTGACTATTACTCACCCTGAGGAAGCAAACATCCAAAATCCAGTGACTAAATTTCGGCAACAAATGAATCAACCTTAACTCTGAACTCCCAGTATCACCATTTTCAAATGAGAAGCTAAATAATTTAACTCTCTTTTCTCCAAACACCGCAATTACAGATTCCGCACTAGAACTAATCCCGTGCACACGAACCCCATCGAAAACCGAATAGGATTTCATTATCTTCCCAAATTCTAACTCGTACAACAGAATTTCCGAACCTAAACCTGAATTTTGAAGTAGCATGATGCAAATGAGTAACAGATTGTTGAAGTGAAATTGAAAAAGGAATGAATATTAGGTTATTGAAAGTGGTTGGAGAAAACGATACCGGCTAGTAGAAGAGGGAGAGGGTGATTGGGAAGGTGGAGAAAACAGAGAGCTGAGATGTCACCGAGGTAAGGGCCGCGATGCAGACGCCATTCGGTTAAGCGGTGCTCTTCCGGTTCGATCGTCATTGCTTCGCTCGCTGAATCCATTTCTCTTGTTTTGAGGTTCTTCAACTTTAGCTACGCACTGTGAGGAAGTAGGGTTTAACAAATTATGTCTCCCTCTCAATAAATGTAGTTTTAAAACGTGCCCGTTAAATAATACTACAATAAATAAAATTTAAAAAAATGAAAATTAATGCTTTCATCTTCTCCAATAATAATTTTACCAAAATAAACTATAGTCACGTTAAATCAGTTCAGTTTGTAGTTATACAATAACATAGATAGTGGTGCAGATTCAAATCAGCGATATCTTACTTGTTCATGAAAATTTTATTTTATTTATATATAATTTATAGTAGATAATCTTAAATGTGTCGTCTTATTTGTAGTGGTTACTCTTCTTATATATATGTTTTAAGGCTAAGATAATTCTCGGGAGCTCAGCATACAAAGCATTTTCACACCCTAGATTACAAGTAAAATTGTGTAAGTGATTTGCTCTATAATCTTTAAAAACTTCTCCACAAGTTGACATGTTTGGGATACCACCCTAGATTACAAGTAAAATTGTGTAAGTATTTTGCTCTATAATCCTTAAAAATTCCTCCATGAGCTTACATGTTTGGAATACCAAACTGAGGCATCATTTGTGTTGTCTTTAATTCAATTAAATGTAGGTGGATTCTAGATGATCTCCTTAGAGATAGGATATATATGAGGGTCATAACTATAAAGTTTTAAGAATCGAGAACATAATTATAAAAGCAGTGGAAGTGGTTTTAGTGTCATTGCCAAACAGTGAAACTTGAGATATGATCGAAGTTGTGGTGGACTTCCAATGAATAAGTTTCTTGTGGAACGTGACTTCATTCCTTACATGTCAATAGATATGCATTGAGTAAAGCAAGGTTTCTTGAGAATTTCCCAACATTTTCCAGCTGAAGATATCATAGGTGGCACATTAGTTTGGTTTGGAACCCATATCTAAAGGTTATGAGAGTAATGACAATCAAATACCAATTGTTGAATTAATCTTGAGTTTTTTTGTAACTGGGGTTACAAATAAAAAGATCATATGAACACCTATATCGACCAACTTGTCAGCACTAAGCAACTTTTTAGTCTTCATATTAGTATGGACGTTTAGGGGGGACTGATATATTCCAAAATAATTTGGCCCAATGTCTAACATGATATGTGTTAGCTTTGAAATAGTATGGTTTTGAGGGTTAGTTTGTTATTTGTATTAGGACACCGTATTATTCTATCTTAAGAATCATCTTGAACAAGCGTGTAATATGAGGGAAGGTAGTGGCAAAAAATTAGGGTTAATTGATTTATGTTTATGGATGAAGGAAAACACAGTAGCTCTAAAATTACTTTATAGGTCAATTTGGATTTGCAAGAGTTGAGCCAAAGGTTGGTTACACTGGTTGCCAAGTCAAAAACTAACATTATCTCATTTGACAATGAGCCATAAAGTGTTTTATTTAAAACCAAAGTATGGGTTTTTTAAGGCACACCATATGAATGAGAGAATTTGATGTCTAATTTGTGTCCCATTGATCACTAGAGTTGGCCAAGTTCCAACATTGCAACCGATTTGAGGCTTCATTAAAATGGAAATGGACATGATGCATATGTAGTTGATGTCTCTAGCACATTCAGGGGAGCATTCCTAATAGGATTTATTGCTTGTCTTATCGCTTTCGTTTCAATTGATTATTATTATTATTTATTGAGTCTTCTTCATAATTGCATATCTCTAAATAAAGTTTAAACTGATTCATTTTTTAGCATGCATTAATCAATCGTTATGTTTGAGATTTGATCATGATGGTTTAAGTCAATTGTTTGGGTTAGTGATACGAGAATCATATGTGATATCAATTCAAGTCATGTGGGAAGTGAAATCTCAAACTATTTTGGAAAATTTGAAAATTTGAGATTTATTGTGTGTGATTCGAATCACTCACCGTCCATGATTCAAATCAAGCAAAATAGTGGTGAGAAGGAAAATTTGGGTATCTGTGATTCGAATCACAGTTTATACGTGATTCGAATCGTGTAACTTTGTGATTCGAATCACAGTTTGTGTATGACTCGAATCACAAACATCTTGTCAGCCATTAACGTGTCTGATTCGAATCAAGCATAAAACATGATTTAAATTATGACCTTGTATGACTCAAATCACACTTTTAACCTAATTCAAATCACATGCAAATTGGTTACTTTTCTTCACGAGATCCTGTTTCACTCTACTTGCTCATTTGACTTAAATCATGAAATGTTCTTGACTCGAATCTAACTAACTTTTTTCACATATTTTTGTGCTTAGTCTCATGGACATATAAAATATTTTTGCCATCATTTTACATGTGCAACCTTACACATCTTTACAATATTTTGCATTGTGATTTTGTGAAATAAACACCCTCTCACTTTTGAAAATTTAAAACCCCTTGCAATAAAATTCTTTCATCTTCAACCTCTAATTTGATTTCATATTTTGATAATGATAGATTTATAATTGATTGAGGGAGACCCCGTCTTAAAATTAATTATTCTTGAACTTGAAGGTTTAGTTGAGATTTTCATGTAGCTTGCAAGATTGAGTTTGTTGTCATTGGTGCTGATAAAGTCTAGTGAAAAGAAGGAGGCTATTCTCTCCAAATTAGCTTGATAGTGATTGTGTGAAACACTACGGACAAGGTGGAGTTCTTCTCAAATCTTCAGACAGTTAATCACTCAAGAAAATGGTGGGATCAATGGGTGATTGCCACACAGGAAGCCTATGAGCACATTGGTGAAGCTGGAAGACTCAAAAAGCGTGAATCGAGTAAAGATTGCGCATAAGAGATTGTCATTATGTTGTATACAAGTCAAGATTTGTATAAGAGATTTAGTTTTCTCAGCATTATTGTGGATTAGTGAGTGTATGAACACTTGAAATATTTGTCAAAATAAAAAGGAACAAAGTAGGTTCTAATGGAAAACCATTGAAGAGTGGAGTAGGCAAAGTGAGGACGAACGTCAAACCACTATATATCTCAGTGTACTCTCTCTCTCTCTCTCTCTCTCTCTCTCTCTCTCTCTCTCTCTCTCTCTCTCTCTCTCTCTCTCTCTCATATAATTTTCTTAGGATATTGCATGCTTATGTTTTCAATTCTTAGCGTAGTTTATCATTTATTCAATTGGTAGCGATTTATTATATAAGGTTAGATTTTGTTATAATTGGTGTCTAATTGAGCTTTAATGGTGATTAAATTCTGAGAAACTAATGTTTTTAGAATCCGATCATGATTGAAATATTGTATAAGACACATCATGTGTAATATACAATTGTTCAATTATTCATTATTGAATAATCTGCGAGTTTTGTAAATTATGTATTTGTCGACGTGATCAAAATCCAATAAAAATATAATTCTCATATTTTTGTTTTAAAACTTTCGCGCGCGCAATTTTGAAAAACCTCTAATATTCTAATTCCGAAAAATCAATTGAATTATTTTTTTACAGACCTATTCACCTCTATAGATTATTATCTTACTCTATATTTTCACCCAACAACATAAGTGTTCAACTGAGGTGCCTTGACAATATTTATGACATGCCATAGTGACAAAATTACTTTTATTAATGTCTACACTCTATATAAAGTTTCCATCCCATCTTTCTATGTCCTTGTTCAATGAAACATGATAGGAGTATATGAGCAGGTCATGCATCAACATGCCATGAATGACAACTTTGACTAGTTAAATTTTGTATGCAGTGGACAAAAGAGATGTTTTCTAAGCATCAAATTTTATTCTAATTTTATTGGAAATGAATTGAAAATGTCTTTTTTTAGGCTTGCCTTTGAAAATAGGAATTCTCGTGTACAAAAAAGGAGGGTGGCCAACAGTGAAACCAACCAAATTTTAGGCTTGACATTTGTGTCTTTAGGAAAATAGTGAATAAACATAAATGATGGACTTAGAAGTATTGATGATCAGGCATGAGCATTCTACATATCTTTTGAATAAATTAGTAATTGAACCAATTTAATATGCATTGCCGCTACTGAGTAGCATAATGTAATCAATATAAAGAGTATGATAAGACATCACTAGATTTCTTATGCCACTAATGAGCTTAACCTTGTTATCATGTCAACTTAGACCCGCCTCAAATAAGGACATCTTATACAATGCATTAAATGAGATTGGATAGAGGGTTACCATTCCTCTCCTTTTTTTGACACTTGAAAACCTCTTTGTTGGTCATTAATAGAATTAGAAATAAAGGCAGAGTACAAAATAACACTAATTCAATTGCATAAATTTATGTTAAAGTCAAAACAATTTAGTTTAAAATGTTAATTTTCATTGCACGGTTACCACAAAAGCCCTTCTTATGCAAAATATTTGCAACTTCTAAAGTGAGACAGATGATGTCTTTAATGTTTCTCCCATGAATGAAAGTCATATGCACTTGAGAAACAATTTTTAAAAGAATTTTATCTAATATATCTGCTAGAATTATTATTATGATTTTGTGTTTGAAATTTTCCATGTTTATATAATTTCGTGCTTGAAATTTTTCATGTTTATATGCTTATACATGTCAATTGTATCTGCCTTATGTATTGTCTGGGATGTGTGCCAAGGTGTTGAAATTGTAGTTAAGAAGAATCCACTCTTCTACGAAGAACTGCATAATAGCGTTGGTTAAAATAATGGACCAAAGTCATCAGGTCTAGAGGCATTGTTTCTCTTTAAGCTCAAGACTGCATTGTGAAATTCCTTATTTTAAGGAAGCATAGTTAACAAATTATTGAATTGTTAGAGACTTTGGCGCCAAGCATAGTAATGCTAGAAGATATAACTCTAATGTGAGATTAAGAGAAATGCAAGAAGGCGATCTTGTATTGAGACAAGTGAGTCTTCCTGTATAACATGGAAAGTTACAACCCAATTGGAAAGGACTGTACTGCATATTCCAGAAACTCCGATGGAGCATATAAGCTGTAAGAGTTAGATGGGTGTCTAATACCC